ATGAGTCTCAACATGAAACATTCCTTTCCTTCAGAAAGCCCTGGTTCAACCATAAATGTGATGGAATATGAATCAGACCTTCAGCATTGGGAACATGAAAGTTTTAGAATGCAAATTATTACTGCCTTTGAAAGGATACGCCAACTTGAAGGCTAGAGTGCGGTAGCCCACATCAAAAATAAGAAAATTAAACCCTAGCCAGTTTGGCTCAGTGGATAGAGTGTCGGCCCGTGGACTGAAGGGTCCTGGGTTTGATTCTGGTCAAGGGCATGTACCTCAGTTACAGCCTCGATCCCCATGCGGGAGGCAACCAATCAATGTGTGTCTCTCACATTGATGTTTCTCTCTACCTCTCCTCCTCCACTCTGAAAAATCAATGAAAAAATATCCTTAAGTGAGGCTTGACAAAAAAATAATAATAAAATAAAACTAAAAAATAAATGCGAGTATCAAAAAATAAATTCAAGGTCTTATCTCACTGTAATAGTTGAGATTACAGGCTGGAGTTGGAGTTGGAGATGAAGAGCCCAGTGGAGCCAACGCTCAGTACAGATCGCCAATTGGAGTTGGAATGCGTGGGTCTGAAACCTGGTTCACTACTTTTTAAAAAATATATATATTTATAGATTTCAGAGAGGAAGGGAAAGGGAGAAAGATAGAAAAATCGATGATGAGAGAGAATTATTGATTGGCTGCCTCCTACATGCCCCCTATTGGGATTGAGCTGCAACCCAGGCATGTGTCCTTGACCAGAATCGAATCCAGGACCCTTCAGTCCACAGATTGACGCACTACCCACTGAGCCAAACCGACTAGGGCTGGTTCACTACTTTTTTCGTTAATCCTCACCAGAGATATACTTCCATTGATTTTTTTTTTTTTTTTTTTAGAGAGAGTGGAAGGGAGAGGAAGAGACAGAAACATCGATCGGCTGCCTCCCGCATGTGCCTCAACCAGGGCCGGGATTGAGCCTGCAACTGAGACATGTGCCTCTGATTGAATCCAACCCGGGATCCTTGAGTCCACAGCCCAACGTTTTATCCACTAAGCCAAACCAGCTAGGGCTGGTTCACTACTTTTTAGGAGTGTAATCTCAGACAAGCTACTTAATCTGTCTGAAATAAAAAATGGGGGTAATATTAACTACCTCATAGAGTTATTGTGAGGATTAAATGAGATGAAAGCATGCTGAATACTTACCACACTGCCTAGGACATTTTAAGGGCTTCATATTTTTAACCATGCAAAATAAATGCATTCTTGTCTTTTGAATGGTTTTCTTATTGTTTTATGTGTTTTTTTGTCTTCCTATTTTCATTCCCTTTGAGCCTCTGTTTCTATCCCAGGTTCCATGATATATTCTAAGTTCCTAAGTTGGCCCAACAGGGAAAGGGCAATTCTCACCAGAGAAGAGACTGGTGGTAAGAATGATGTTCCACACCCAACGCTCGCCTCCGATCTGCCGGTAGAAGTGGCTGGACACATAGCCAGAGATGCAGCAGGTCAGGGCATACAACAAGATGGCTGCTGAGTTAATGGCCCCATGATGGTGCACATTGAACATGCCGAGCAGCGCCATGACAATAATGCCTGCAGGGTGGTAGTGGAAAATCCGTGTTAGGGCTCACCTATCCCTCTTCTGGCAATTTCAGAGGAATCAGCCCCCTTCTCCCAGACCCAAGGCCTCCAACAAAACACTATCTCCCAGTTCTGTCGTCCAGAAAACCCACAATTAGAATATACACATCCTTGCTAGAGCCATCCCACCCTTAGTCTGCCCCTCACCTTAGATCTGCAGATTCTTTCTGAAAAAACCACCTACTTGGATTTAATCCTTTAGAAATATCTCTGGTTAATTTTTATCACCTCACCAGTGCCAAGGGCCAGGAACTGGGCACCCACACCAAGCACAGCGCAGAGCAGACCACGGTATGGAGGGAAACGGAAGACATCTGTATGGATGATTTTCCAGCCATTGTCACCTTGGTCAAAGTCGTCACCAGAACCTGCGGAGGTTGTCTCCTCATCCAAGTTGTACCGAGCCAGGTCATTCCGAAGCACACGCATGAGAATGACGGCCACAAAACCCACCAGTAAAAACACAAGCACCATGGAATTAATGATGGATAACCAATGGATTTCCAGTGTTCGGGGGAAGAAACCACCATCATCACCACGGCGCCTGTCACTCCGGCGCTCCACTGAAGTCTCAGACCAGCGCACACTGTACGTGTGGGTGAGGCCCAGGAACTCATCAGGTCGTAACCCATCTAAACTGTGGGGCTTGACGTCCCGCACTGAGACATTGGCAAATATAATTCGATCTCCATGGAATTCCAGGTGAAAATCCAAATGGGTCCAGAGTCCTATCTTGTGGCTGTGAGGCAGGAAGCCACTCTCCTCCATGTAGCCCACAAAGCCACGGAGTGGCAAGTCGTCCACCACAAATTCAAAATAGTACAATTCCTCGATGGCCTGGCGCAGCTGTTCCACCTACAAAAGCAAGACAGGAATCAGACAAGGCCTCCCTAGCACAGGGTTAGAGAAGGGTTTTTCAACTTTGGCACTGTTGACATTTGGGGCTGAATAATTCTTTCTTGTTGGATGATGTAAGATACATCATCCCTGGCTTCTTCTCACTAGAGTATCATCCCTCGATAATGACAATCAAAAATATCTCCAGGCAGTGCCAAATGTCCCTTGGGAGACAAAATTGCCCCCTGTCTTGATCCACTGGGTTCGACCCTATAATGTTGTGATTCTCCAAAAGCAAGTATGACTTGACAGGGTTAAGGCCTAGAAAAAGGAGAGAGGCAAGGTGGAAGAAGGTCTAGAGTAGATTAAGGAAAACTGTCCAAATAATAAGATTTGCTAAAGAAAATAGTATGACAGCCCTGGCTGGTGTTGCTAAATGGTTAGAGCATTAGCCCACGCACCAAAGGGTTCGATTCCCCGTTCAGGGCACATTCCTGGGTTGTGGTTCACTCCCCGCCCCCCACCAGGGTTTGTGAAGGAGGCAACCGGTCGGTGTGTCTCTCTTACATTAGTGTTTCTCTCTCCTTCCTTCCTTCCTTTCCAGTCTCTGAAAAGCAATGGAAAAAAATACCGAGTGAGGATTAACAAAAAGAAAGAAAAAAGCACGACAGGGAAGTTTAAGTAGAGTGTAAAGGAGCCAATTACGGAAGGGCTGAAAGGTGAGTATGGACGGAAATAACTGTAGCAGTGGTAGTTGGGAGCTTACTACCAGAGAAGCTTGAGTCAGGAGCCCGGGGCTCCAATATCAGCTCTGCAATTCCCTATCCATGTAGTCTTGAAAAAGTCACCTCTGCGCAAAGTATGTTCCTTCATCAACTGAATGCAAATAATACCACCTGCCCTGCCTGTCACATGGGGCTGTAGTTAAAATCAAGTCAGATCTTTCCATAAAGATGCTTTGAAAACCATAAATGTGATGCGCTGTTATTAGTCCCTGGGAGGGAGGGCTAAGTTCTAGCCAATGCAGAGAGACTGACCTGTGCAGAACTGAGCTGCATGTGGCACAGAATTCTCTTTTCCACATTCTCCCGAAAGCGAATCTCGTACAAAGACTCGGCCATTCTGTCACCATCCAGCACTTCACCCAGGCTAAGGCTTTTGTGCCGTATCTTCTCAGGGCAGCAGACTGGAAGCTGATAGTAGTGGTAAGTCTCCTGAGGGTTATGGTAGGGTCCCACTTTGTTGACATACAGAATGACAGGGTCGCCGGCTTTGTAATGTGTCACACCTGCCACCCCCGTTGTGCTCAGCAGCAGCATCAGGAGTGGCAACCACTGGCAGCTCCAACTTCTCGGGGGCCCTAGGACTGTCATCCTTAAGGCAGTGGAATCTGTTTGGGAGAGTGCTGAGGTTATGGAAACCAGCAATCAACTCATGACGCCCCAAGTCAAGAGCTCAATGATTGAATTCCTCCCATTGGCGCATCCGACCTTCTCTCAGAAAGCCATCTCCAGATCCCCTACACCACACCATGCTTCTATCCCAAAGACTGGGCTGCACCTCTGCTCTCTTGTCCTCAACCCGGGCTTCCCCCGCTTCCCGCCGCCCACCTGCTCCGGGCTCCCCTTCCCCCTCCCCCCTCCCGCCCGCGCGCCCAGCCCGTTGCCATGACAACGCCGCGCTGCCTCGCACCTCCAGCACCTTCCCGCCGCAGTCCCGGGGTCCTCACCGCGCGGGAAGGGCTGGCCGAGGCGGCGCCAGAAGCCTCAGCGGCCCCGTAGCTGCCCTTGGGCTCCCGCTGGGGTCTGCCCCAGAGCTGCGCGCTAGCGGTGGCCTGCTGAGGACCTGGGGACCGACCTCCATGGGGTTGGCCGCCGCTGTGCCTGATCGTAGCGACTGCGGTCACACCACGTGAGACCCCGCACTCCGCTCAGCGAAGTGCTCGCTCAGGAGCTTTGTGAAGCGGCAGGCCCGGCCCAGCTCTGGCGACCGCTCAAGGCTCAGCCTGCCTCTCCCCCGGCCGGGGGCCCTCCTGGCGATCGGGAGAGCAGCCCAAGACACGTCAGTCTTACCACTTCCGCTCTCACCCGCGGGGCCCTCAGCCCGGCTGGAAGCGTCTTCCCAGACGTTAAAGGGGACTAACCCCGCTGACGGTTCCTGAGCAGGGGTGCGGACCGGGCCTGGCTATCAAGATCAAGGCGTCGTTTCGGGAAAAGAGTCGTCGCCGGGCCGCCCTCCTGTCCCCGGGAAGGTTTGGGCGGAGGTCTTGAGAGCAGTTCCCGCGTGCGCTCCCAGTGACTGTCCAGGACGTGGAACTCGGGCGGCGGCCGTGCCCACACCTAGTGGGCGCCCCGAAGCGTTTGCCGGCTGCACCAACGGCCTTCGCCACCGGCCTAGACCTGAGCGGTCCACGGCCCCCAGCCCGGGCCTGGTGAGGCTGTGGGCACAGCCCACACAGGGTCCTCGAGCCTGGATCTCACCTCCCGCCCCCCGTCCTGAACGGCCTGTCTTCCCGAGGCTGCAGTGGAGGCCTCCGTGGCCGTGCAACGACCGTTCATGTTTGACGATAGGCAGGCCTGCGCGGGGGCCGGTGCGGGGGCGCAGAGAGGGTGTCTGCCCGGTCCCCCTGTGAGCTGGGCAGTCCGACAGGGTTTTTGTTAATTGCAGGTAATGAACCTTGCCATGCGTTCGTCTCCTGTTTTTGTTCTTATCTATGTATATGTATTTGGACTGCTCTTAATTTTGTGTTGCAGACTATTCAAGGGTGTCTACCTGTAGGGGCGTTTCCCTGGAGATCGGGCCCAGGGGCAGAGACCTTCCTTTGGCCACCTGGGAGCAGCATGTGAGGAAGCTGCAAGTCACAAGTGGCTTCTGGCCTGAAAAGTCCTTCATTTGCCTACATCTGTCCCCTCTGACCCAGCCCTCCTTCCTACGGGAGGTGAGGTTCCAGGAAGTAGGGGGTTGAGTTTAGAAAACGATTCTTGCAATTAGAAAAGTAGCTTAAGCCCTAGCCTGTTTGGCTCGGTGGATGGAGCTTCGGCCTGCGGACTGAAGGGTCCCGGGTTCGATTCAGTTCAAGGGCACATGCCGGGTCTGTGGCTCGAGCCCCAGTAGGCGGCGTGCAGGAGGTGGCTGATCAGTGATTCTCTCTCATCATTGATGTTTGTCTCCCTCCCTTCCTCTCTGAAAAAAGTAAAAATGTTTTTTGTTGTTGTTTTTTTAAGTAGCTTAAGTGGCTTTGGAATAGTTTTTAAGCAACAACCTTCGTTCTCTAAAGCCAGAAACCTGGGCCTCTTTCTCAATTACCACGCCCCCCTCCCCCCAATCCCCAGCCCCCAGATCAATGCCACCAAGTCCCTTCTGCTTATTTCATGAATATCTTCCAAATACTTGCTCTCCCTGCCTGTCTTGATTCAGGCCCACCCTCTCACCTAAATTACCATGACAGCAGCTTATTAAAAACATAGCTATCTGGGTACCACCAAATCAGGATCGTGGGGGAGTGGGCATCACTATTTTTTAATAAGCTCTCATTTTGGTGCACATCAAAATTTGATCATGAGTATATAAGGTGAAGTCAAAAAAGCTTGGCATGGCCTGGCTGCCATTGCTTAGTGGTTGAGCATTGACCTATGAGCCAGGAGGTCATGGTTCCCAGTCAGGGCACAGGCCGAGGTTGCCGGCTCAATCCCCAGTAGGGGGCGCATGCAGGAGGCAGCCAATCAGTGATTCTCATCATTGATGTTTCTATCTCTCCCTCACCCTTCCTCTCTGAAATAAAAATTTATTAAAAAAAAAAAAAAAAAAAAAGCAAAAAGCTCGGCATGTAAGGTCACTCAGACCTGGACCTTAATTGTTTTTTTAGGTACATTCCCCTTCTGTAATCCTATCCTGTATTCAAGTTAAAATTCTTTTTTCCTTGTTTAAAATTAATTTTAGAGAGATGAAGGAAGAGAAACATCAATTTGTTGTTCCACTTATTTATGCATTTATTGGTTTCTTCTTATATGTGTCCTCATCTGAGATAGAACTGGCAATGTTGGCGTTTTGGGATGATGCTCTAACCAACTGCTCTCTGGCCAGGGCTCATATTGAAATTCTGAATGTCATGTTCTCTCAAGCCTGCAAGCCTCATGTGGTTCCTTCTGCCTAAACTGCCCAATCTACCATTCCTGACCTGCCTGGAGGCTTTTGAACAGTGCAAGCGCCATCTTCTCTATAAAGCCTTCCCTTTCGTCTCCTTCCAAGCATTGTTGGTAGCACTTTAACTGTACTGTTATTTCTCATGTGTGTCTCCCTTGTTAACTGCTAACTCCTTACAGAAGTTTATCCATTTCGCGATCCTCTGGACCTAGCAGTGCTCTTGTATATAGTAGGTAGCTTAATGCACGTTCTTCAGATGAAGTGGGTAACTCCTCCCACCCCTGCCTCCTTACCCCAGTGCCCTGGACAATGCTCATCTTGATAGAGTAAGGATATGTAGGCCAGGTTGTCAATAAATGGGGATTTACCAGTAGCCGATGGCATAATCTGTTGTTGAAGTTTTTGTTTTATTTTGGAGGATGGAAGATAAAAGACATCTGATTGTTCCCTTAGTTTTTCCTCTGCATGCCCCCGTTCCTTCCCCCCAAATCTCAAATCCAGACAACCCCTTTATGATCACAACCTCTTGTCCTGGCATTCCCACCAAATTTGTTCTTCCATTTCACCGAGACCTAGAACCCCTCCCACTACCCCTTTGGCTTTTTTCTATCTTGTTTTCCAACCCATGCACCTTAGATTCTGCATTCCATTATTTCAGCCACATTCTTGTCTGTGTTTTGTTTGTTTGTTTTTAATATATTTTTTATTGATTTCGGCGAGGAAGGGAGAGGGGGAGAGAGATTAAAAACATCAGTGATGTCCTGACCGGTTTGGCTCAGTGGATAGAGCATCGGCCTGCGAACTGGAGGGTCCCGGGTTCGATTCCAGTCAGGGGCACATGCCTGGGTTGCGGGCTCGGTCCCCAGTAGGGGGCGTGCAGGAGGCAGCCGATCAATGATTCTCTCTCATCATTGATGTTTCTCTCTTTCTCCCTCTCCCTTCCTCTCTGAAATCAATAAAAATATTAAAAAAATAAATAAAAAAATAAAATAAAAACATCAGTGATGAGAGAGAATCATTGATCAGCTGCCTCCTGCATGGCCTCCACTGGGCATTGAACCTAGAACCCTTCAGTCCGCAGGCCGACACTTTATATACTGAGCCAAACCAGCTAGGGCTGAAAAAATCAATTTTTAAAAAATAAAATTAAAAACACAGGCAAGCCCTAACTGGTTTGGCTCAATGGATAGAGCATCGGCCTGCGGACTGAAGGGTCCTGGGTTTGATTCCGGTCAAGGGCACATGCCTGGGTTGTGGGCTCAATCCCCAGTGGGAGCCATGCAGGAGGCAGCCAATCAGTGATTTTCATCATTGATGTTTCTATCCCTTCTCTCCCTTCCTCTGAAATCAATAAAAATAAATTTTAAAAGGTCAAGGTGGGGGGGAAGGAGACATATGTAATACTCTTTGTAATACTTTAAGCAATAAAACAAAATAAAAAAATATATTATTGTTATAGAAAAAATAAGAATAAATAAATTAAAAAAAAAAGAATTTGTACTTGATTCTAAGGAGAATGGGAACATATTAAATTGTTTTAAATGGGCCTAGCTGGTGTGGCTCAGCAGTTGAGCATCAACCTAGGAACCTAGAGGTCCCTGGTTTGATTCTGGATCAGGTCACATGCTGGGGTTATGGGTTTGATCCCCAGTGGTGGTTGTGCAGGAGGCAGCTGATTGATGATTTTCATTATTGATGTCTCTCTCCCTTTCTCTATGAAATCAATAAAAATATATTTTAAGAAATTGTTTTGAATGGATTTAAATCAGGTTTATGCTTTGGACTTTAGGGTGAAGTAGAGTTTAGGGTCATGGAAAGCCAGATAATGTATTTCAAGGTTAAGAGGTGGAGTCTACTTCTCCACACCTTCAATCTGAGTGATCCTTGTAACCTTGTAATTGTCTTTACTCTTATAAAGATGTTGAAGTGATGCTTTGTGATTTTAGAGCCTAGCCTTAATTGGTCATGTGACTTGTGATTTTTTTTTTTCTCTTGAAATTCAGTGCCACTGTGTGAGGGAACTCAGGCTTGTCTGCTGGATAATGAGACCATATGAAGCAGAAACAAACCATCCCAGCTGAGATGAGACCAATTAAGTCTAGCTCAGTTTGCAAAAATAAAGTTGTTTTAAGCCCAAAACAGAAAAATGTATGAATTTTAAAATTAGATTCTTTAGAATTGCTTCTACAATACCTTGCAATTCTCTTTAATATTCTCACACTCATTGCCCTAGCGCCAGTTTGGCTCAGTGGATAGAGCGATGGCCTGTTGACTAACCGGTCCCAGGTTCAATTCCTGCCAAGGGCACATGCCTGGGTTATGGGCTCTATCCCCCGCCCCCCAGTAGGGGGCGTGCAGTAGACAACCAATCAATGATTCTCATCATTGATATTCTATCTCTCTTCTTTGAAATCAATTTTTTTTAAAATTCTCACACGTTTTTTACGCTGGATATAAAGTCTGGGAGCACAGGGTCTACTAGCCTTGTTGCTTACTTTATCCCAGTACTCAGCACGCTGCCTGGCACATAGTAGGTGCTCAATAAACCTGAGTGGTTGGCCCTAGCCGGATTGGCTCAGTGGACAGAGCATCGGCCTGAGGACTCAGGGGTCCCAGGTTCGATTCCGGTCAAGGGCATGTACCTTGGTTACGGCACATACCCAGTAGGGAGTGTGTAGGAGGCAGCTGATCGATGTTTCTCTCTCATCGATGTTTCTAACACTCTATCCCTCTCACTTCCTCTCTGTAAAAAAAATCAATAAAATATATATTATAAAAAATAAATAAACATGAGTGGTTGAAGTGACCATATCTATGGAGGAGTCTCACCAGATTGTGAAGGTGCTCCAGGAATGAATATGTTCCAAACCACTTCATTCTCAAGCCTTGTGGCCAGTGGTGAATAGGTGAATTGTGATGTGTGCGGAACATGGGACCTTGGGGAATTCCGTAATCAAGAGGAGAATGAGTAACAACAGCTAGTGGAGACAAAGAATTCTCCCTTTTCCCCCCTCCATGTTCCCAGTGGAGAGCTGAACCCAGCATCCCAGATTTGTGTGACTGCACAGGCAAGCATTTGGAGACTAACTTTATTTTGGTACCCTAGCCCTCAGTGGCTCAAGGTGTTGGTTTTCTGAGCAGACAGGAGGCTCTTAAGTAGCAAAGCTCCCTGCTCTCAGCAAGCCCAGCACATGGGGAAGGGGGACACCCAGGAGGCGGCACCGCCCACTTCAGCCTACCGCTCTGTCATGGAGGAGTACGGTTATGAAGTGGGCAAGTCCATTGGCAATGGCTCCTATGGGACAGTGTATGAAGCTTACTACACAAAGCAGAAGGTCATGGTGGCTGTCAAGATCATTTCAAAGAAGAAGGCCTCTGAGGACTATCTTGTCAAGTTCCTGCCTCGTGAGATACAGGTTAGAGAGGGTACAGGAAGAGGGAACTGGTACCAAGCTGCTTAAGGCTTCTCAGAAGAGGTATGGCTAGGAGGGGATGGGGCCAGAAACCCCCAAACCAGAACTGATATAAATTCCATCTCTTTCCACTCATTCACCTTCAGCCCCTCAAAAAGGAGACATGCAAAGCACAGGGTTTGCCCACAGGCCACCAAACCCTCTTTTGTTCCTGTTGCAAAGTTCTATGAAAGTAGCACTGAGAGAGCAGGGGGCTGGGAGCACAGCCAAGGTTCTCCCTTCCCAGGCTTGATGGGTCCCTCTTCTGGGGCCAGGTAATGAAGGTCCTGCGACACAAGAACCTCATCAACTTCTACCAGGCCATCGAGACCACGTCCCGAGTGTACATAATTCTGGAGTTGGCTCAGGGCGGCGATGTCCTTGAATGGGTCCAGCGCTACGGGGCCTGCTCTGAGCCCCTTGCGGGCAAGTGGTTCTCCCAGATGTCCCTGGGCATCGCCTACCTGCACAGCAAGGGCATCGTGCACCGGTGAGTGTGCTGCCACCTGGACTGGGGCCTTTGGGCTCTCAAGGGGGTTTTATGCACATTTCTGCCGTTTTTTTCCTCCTTTGACCTCCCTTCTCAGTATCTAGGCCCATTCATCCATATTTTTTAGCTGGTCAAGAACATTTATTAAGTACCCACTGTGGTTAGAGCACTTTATGCAATGGTGAGCTCCCAGGGTCCTCAGATACCATCCTCTTACCTCTTTGGGCTCTGCTCACAACTCCATGGCTTTCCTTCTACTTTGTTTTCTCACAATGGCATCTCTCTCGCACTATGCCTTTCCCCATCTCTAGCCTCTGACCCCTGGCCCTTCAGTTCTGAGTCTAATACTAAGTCCTCTCCCTGACCCCCAGCTTTTCTGCTCCTTGTAGGGACTTAAAGTTGGAGAATTTATTGCTGGACAAGCGGGAGAATGTGAAGATATCAGACTTTGGCTTCGCCAAGATGGTACCTTCTAGCCATTCTTTGCGTAATAGCCCTTCTTTACACCAAAGGAACTATTTTACCCACCTCAGCCAGACCTACTGTGGCAGCTTTGCTTATGCCTGCCCAGAGATCTTGTTAGGCTTACCCTACAACCCTTTCCTGTCTGACACCTGGAGCATGGGTGTCATCCTCTACACTCTGCTGGTTGCCCGTCTGCCCTTTGATGACACCAATCTCAAGAAGCTGCTGAAAGAGACTCAGAAGGAGGTCACTTTTCCACCTAACTTGTCCGTCTCCCAGGAGTGCAAGGTGCTGGCTCTCCCAATCATACTGAGGACTCCAGGGACCCACAGGGAGGGAACCCAACCTAGGCCTCCCAACGCTAGAGAAGGCTCTTCCCTACCAGAGCCATCTTGCACTCTAGCCCCTGCCCTAGAATAGTGGGAAGGACTTAAAGGGCCAACCACTGGGTTCTGCACCTTAGATGTGAGTGGTGAGCAGGATTCACCTATCTTTTTAGGCCAGAAGAGGATTATGCAAGGGATCCCCCCAATGAATCCATCCTTCTCTTCCCCTCCAGGGAGTTAAAGGCTTGGTTCTTCAGGATAAAATCAGGGCCACAGCCCTTCCATCAGAGTGGTGTGATGGGCTATCCTGCTTCTTTCTTAGGTCCCCTGTTCAATGCCTGTGTGGCATAATGGGAGGCTCAGCCAAGACCCCTCTCTCCCCTGCCTAGAACCTGGTCTTCCAGACGCTACGTCAACCCAACAAGCGTGCCACCATCCTGGACATCATCAAGGATCCATGGGTGCTCAAGTTCCAGCCTGAGCAACCCACCCATGAGATCAGGCTGCTTGAGGCCATGTGGCAGCCGCTCAGCACGGCGAGTCGTCGCACATCCTTGGAAATCAATATCTGAAAGTGGCTGAGGCAGGGGTTGAGAGAGGAGCAAAGCAGGAAGGGTTTGGGGCTAAAAATCTTTTATACCAAAAATAAATCTAATTCTGATTAGTTTCATTAGTTGGGGTCAAAGATATTCTTTCCTTAGGGAACCTTAGCAGGGAACACTGCTGAGGGTAAGAGGTGATTTCTGCCCAGAGCCTGTGACTAGTAATCTTGATAGCTGTTAAGTCCACATTGTCATTCACAGTGTAGCTTATATTTGGCTCATGGGGGAGGGTGTGCTCAGATGAAAACATGCTTTAGAGAAGTTCATTATTCTGGCTAAGTACATGTTCACTATTTTACATTTCTTTGCACTTTAAATGGTCAAGTCATAGGGTAGAGGCCCTGGTTGCTCTGTTTGGTCATGGCTCTGCCTCTGTCTATAGTCTAAAGGGATAGCATTGTGTTATCAAGCTTGGCCAGTGGTGCTCAGTGGTTGGAGGTCACAGTCCGATTACAGTTTGGGGCACATGCCCAGGTTGCAGGCTCAATCCCCAGTAGGGGGCAGCTGATCAATGATTCTCTTTCATCATTGATATTTCTTTCACTCTCTCCCTCTCCCTCCCTCTCTGAAAGCAGTATTTTTTTAAAAAAGAAAAGTAATGGTTATCAGGATATATGAAGTATCTTGTTCTTTGTCACTCCTCTAAATTCACTATTGAAACAACCCTAGTGAATCATAGCCACATACACTATTGCTCCTAGACAGAAAAGTGTCAGTTCAAACCAAGTCTACTAACTGTGGGTTCTGGATAAAGGAAAGCTACTTTCCCCTTTATCCCTGTATTCTCCTTCCCTATCATTAATAATGGGCTTTGCAAAAAAAAAAAAAAAAAAGGGGGGGGGTAGTAAATTATGGGGCTGTCTTGTCAGACGCTGACAAGGGAAACTGATGAGGGAAGATGCAGAGAAAGCTCCAGTTCTAAGATAAGCAATAGATGGCAGTTTCCTCAGCCACAGCTCTAGCAACTCTAGGACAAACCAACTTGCAAGATGAACCTAGTAGGTAAGATATTGGAAACATTTATTCTATGTTACAATGCCCCTTCATTACTCCTGTTAGTATTCATTGCCTGAAACAGCTCCAAGTTTCAGGTATAGACAAGGCCGTATAAGCACTAGGATTCCATCTGCCCAATTTTATTGAAGACAAGGGCACTGTAACTGCTATCAAAGAGAAGGGAGCCCAGGGGCTCCTCCCACACCAAGATCCTTCTTCAGAGTTGATACAAGCCAGGGACTGGAGGGCAGCAGACCCTTTCTCAGGCAGGGCTATACCACCACCCTCAGCAGTGCCTCCCAAAAAGGCTATGTTCCTTTAGCTCAGCACTTGGCACTTAAGGAAAAGAGATCAACGAAGGCAGCATCAGGAAGATAAGCCCAGACTCATCAGGATACCCACTCAGCCAACTGCTTTAGTGCGTCCTCATCTTCATCCGCCTTGGGAGCTTTGGGGACAAGGATATCCAGAGAAAGACATGTTAAAGCCTCAGCACCTTCCAATCACCCCTTGCTACAGCACTCAGAACCTGCTGAATTCTCTCTCCCCAGCAAAGAACCTAAAGGTTTGGCTTCTGCTTGCTGGGCTGCTGCTAATCCTGTATCTTTGTGCACATTTTTAAAAGGTGCCTGTTTTGCACAGCATCTGCAGCCCTAAACCAGGGTACACAGTTTGCTGAGTGGAGCACAGACTGGATTTCGGTCCCCTTTCCCCTTTAGCCAGGTGCCCTTACAACAACCTGTGCAACTTTAGCAGCAGCCCTTTCTGCCTGGTTCCTTAAAGGCAGGATAGATGAGGAACTCTCTCCCCATATCTATCCCACCCTCTCAAGTTCTTGAGACATCAGAACAGCCCTGAGTACCTGGCCCTGCAGGCAGATGTGTAGAGGGTACACTGGGCAGTTTGACTGGGGGTTCTTCCTCCTTGTCGCCCACATGTAACAACTCCCGAGCCAATTCCTCTTGTTCCAGCTCCTCTAGTTCCTCCAACAGTTCATCCTAGATAAGATTCAAGACGAAGAAAGGAAACTTTTGCTTCTAAAAACATATCATGTTCCCCTCTAAACTTGCCCCCCGATTCTCTTGGACATTGTTTTTTGGATGGTCCCATGCCTCCTCCAAGACTTCCTGACCCTCACTCCCAATCACCTCATCCACATCATCTGCAAAGCCCACAGGCCGAGAAATGGCATCAGAAATCTGCTGGGCCACCTCCTGTTGTTCTGTGATGTCGGCCATCAGTTCATCCACCTTGTCAATGTCCCTGAGAAGAAGATATATAGCCCAGAAATCAGGCAACTGCCCCCCTGACTTTCTGATCTCACATGAATGAAGCCCCTTGTCTGTGGCCTCACTGATAAATCCATGGCTAGCAGGTATAAGAGATCCCTGGAAAATTGTAACTAGGCAAGTTACAATGGCAAACTGAAAAATGGCAAGAATCCACATGGGAATGGGGGTGGGGCTGGGAACAGATTACACTCCCTTTTCTGAAGAACCTTTAGAAAATTAGGAAAATCATTTTTCCTTGCTAGAAAGCTCTGGCCAGAAAAGAGATATTCTGGCAAGAAGAAAAGGAGGCGGACAGAGGTCTAGCCATCATAGGTGTCTATACTCTAGATTCACATTCGGAGAGCTTTTACGATCCAAAGCCTAATACCAAGCTACTCTCCTGTGCTTGGGCCCCCTCCCCCCATACCCACATGTCCTGGTAGGCTTTCTTCATGCCATGGGCAGCAAGCTCCATGGTGCGAAGCACTTCTGCATTGGTGGTGGCATTCTCAATGGCTTCACGCTGAAACTCCAGGGTGGATAATGTCCCATCCGTTTGTGCTAGCTGCTGTTCCAATCTTTTCTTCCTCCGCAAAGCCTGTAGGGCAGCTGACCCAGCCCACACCTTGAACATCAGAGTCAGAAGCCCCTGCTTCCCACCTGGGTCCTCCCTATTGGCACCTTTCCCGTCACCTCTCTTATTTTTGGTCCCATGCTTCTTGGCTGTTTGGAGCTCCTGTTGAATCTTCTTTTCCAGAAACTCCTGTTTCTTGATCAGTATCTTCTCCGTTTCCTTCAGTTTCTGTATCGCCTCTTCGGGGGTTGGTCCCTTCTCCTTCTTCCCTGGAGTCCAATAGAGAAGGCCCATATTGTGTGAAGGGGAAAAATTAACCACCAATCATGGAGTGCACGGTATGTGCTAGGCACTTGACTGTGTTATTTTAATCCCAAAATGACTCTACAACAGTGGTTCTCAACCTGTGGGTCGCGACCCCTTTGGAGGTCGAATGAGACCCTTTCCCAGGGGTCTCCTAAGACCATCCTGCATATCAGATATTTACATTACGATTCATAACAGTAGCAACATTACAGTTATGAAGTAGCAACGAAAATAATTTTATGGTTGGGTCACAACATGAGGAACTGTATTTAAAGGGCCAGAAGGTTGAGAACCACTGCCCTACAACGAACGGACTATCTTCACTTTACAAATGTGAAAACAGGCACAAAGACACTAAACATTTTTTGTCTGAAATCACAACTAGTAAGAGATTGAGCAGTGATTGAAATGTGGCAGTATGACTTCCAAAGCCAGTATTCTTTTGCTGTCCAAGCTGCCTTTTCAAGTCATTTCCAGCTTTCAAAAAAGTTTTATAGACTTTATTTCTTAGAGCAGTTTTAGGGCCACAGCAAAATTGAGTGGAAGGTACAGATATTTTCCATTTGCCCCTTGCACCCACGTATGCATAACCTCCCATGATCACATCCCCCACCAGAATTGTCACTTTTTATAATCACTGTTCCATTTGCTATCCTAGGAGATACCCAAGGTCCTGACACCACAGGTTTAAATGGAATGAAGTACAGGGGGCTAGAGAAAAAAAAAAATTAAAACCTGATCTCAATTTTTCCTTTCATCTTCTGCACTTCTCAGTTCTTGCCCTCCGCCCACAAATCTGATGGCCCTTGCCTGCTTAAAGTCCTTCCATACTCTCTACTGCCCACAGGATAAAATCCAAAGCTTTAAAAACGAGACACACAAGGTCCTCTCCCACTACACTTCCTTCTGCTTTCTCTTCCCCTTCAGCCCACATATTCATGGAACTACTCTTCCAGCTAAATATCCTCTTTCCACCTTTGTTTTGCGCACACACGCGGTTCCCTCTTCCTGGGGCAGCTCAGTTCCGCACCTGGCATGCTTCTAGCCTGCTGGACCCGGACACCTGCTGCTTCTATGCTTCCCTGGTTCCACGAACATCACCGTGTAGTGCACACTCTACTGTAAATGCCAGTTTTGCTTGTCTTCCCCCGTCAGAGAGGAGCTTTGAGAAGGCCCCTTTCTTCAGCACCGCAGCTCCCCTCTTGCCCAGCACCAGGAGAGCACCAGAGTTTTGGAAAGGACTGGAAACTGGCGTCGGAACCTAAACCGTGGGAGCCGGCACTGCCGCCGTCCTCCACCCCGAGCCTTCCCGGACCCAGAGCTCTTCCTTCCGAGGTGGCGGACGGCGGGCCGGCGGCGCCTGGCGCTCTGACAAGGCGGGGCCTCCTGCACTGCAGGCCTTGCGGGCCATCACCGGGATTTTCGGGAAAGCCTGTCCCTGGGTTTCTTCCCCGCCTGTCTCCCCCACCCCGTCCCCTTCCCCTGTGGCCCGTGCTCACCCCTCCCGAAGAGTCGGCCGAGACCACTCATGGCCCCTGCCCGTCCGGCCTCTGCCCCACGGCGTCCCGCACACTTCCGCCTTGTTCCTGGGAGCCTGCATCCCAGCGCTCAGAGACCCGCCTCGGCCAATCCCTTCTTGGGGCTCCGCTGCGACATCACCCGGCGCCAAGGAAGCCACTGCTGTCACGTGACGCGAGCCACCAGCCCCAAACCCGCAAGCTCGGTTCGAAGCAGCCGCTTCAAACAGACTGTCCAACCTACGAGGGAAGGGGGGCGGGGGGAGGGGTAAGAGATCAACCACAGGACTTGTATGCGGAAAAGGGGCGCGCCCTACGAAACTCTCCGCAGGACCTTGGTATGGGCTTAACCAATGGACACAGACAGGGGTGGGGGTGAGGGCATGTGCGGGGGGGGGGGGGGGGGGGGGGGAGCGGGGAGCCGCCTGGGAGAGATCAATGGGGGGAAAATACTTATGTAATACTTTAAACAATAAAGAAATTTTAAAAAAGAAGTACAAATTAGTAGTTACAAAATGATCATGATATAAAGTACAGCAAAGGGAATATAGTCAATAATATAAGTATGTATGGTGTCAGGTGGGTACGTGAAATATTGGGGGGATCACTTTGTAAAGTATATAACTGTCTAACCACTATGCTGTACACATGAAACCAAAACAAAATAATATTAAATGTAAACTGTAATCAAAACTAAAATTTTAAAAATAAAAAATAAATCCACACACAAATAAAAAAAATAAAGCAGCCACTTCACTTTGAAGAATAAAAAGGCTGCCCCCCCCCCCGCCTCCTCCCCCCAAAAAAACTGTTTCCTGGAAGGAAATGTGCAGGGGACAGTGGAAGACTTGGCTCTTCATGCCCTGGACAGCTCAGGAGAGGGAGTGGGGACAGAGTCCTGGGTTTGCCACAGGCTGTAAGGCAGAACCTGGTGCAGCCTAACCCTCACACTCTGGTAGCCAACCCTGGTCCACACGCGAGAAAAACCACTCCACGCTGTGAGAAGATTTCTGGTCACACAAATACACTTTATAATTTACACGTGCACCTGAAAATGCCTTCCTGGTTTCCTTGAGTTTTATGCCTCAAAGGAGGCTCCTCCGCAGGACTGGACCTCAGGGTCCAGCGTGGGCCTTTGCAAATGTCTCTAGTCCTTGAGTCAGGACTTGAAGACTCATTCCATTCTGAACATGAATGCAGGTAACACCTAGAGAGAAAAGAGATATTTTACCCCTCGTTTCTCCCAGGAACCCTTTCTTCCCCCTTTCCCAAATGGTTATTCTCACCACTCAGTACCCAGTTTGCTGACGTCTACAATATTCCGCTTCTCATCATCAAAGAAGATCATCTGGGAGAAAGGAACTCCAGTCTTCTGCTGCAGCCTGTGCAGGGCAGGGCAGGGGAGTAACCAAGCTGGCTTCTTAGTTCTTCCAGTCTCTCTGCTCTTCTCTCCCCCTGCTTCTACCCTCATCTCCCTCATACCTCTCAAAGTGTGTGACCTTGCTGCCTTGATAGATTTCCCTTTGAACAAAGTATCTGGCAAGGTCAAAGAGCTCCAGTAGCTGGTTGGCCCCTTCTATTTCACCTGTCCTGCAAAAAGGTGTAACAGATGCAATCAGGAGAGTGGAGGGCCCGAGCTGCAAGTGAAGTTATGTATCACCAGCGGGAAATCAACTTGCTATTTCCCCAGGATGGACGGATAGGCTTTCTAGGTCCTTATTCTACTTCCAATACTTCCTGACATAGGTGGCGCTAAGCCAACGCTGAATGAATAAAAGGCACAGGGGAAGTCATAATTTTAAAAATGTACAATACCTGCAAATTTTCCACCGCCTACATTTTTGTAACCAAGGGTCTACACAAGAAGTCTCACGCATGCATCTGTCAACATTAGATTGAGGGTTTTTTTTCAGTTGTTCTTACCGTGAAGCAGCTGCCATGGGCACCCCAAGGCCTCGAAATCGGTCCAGGACCTCGGGCACCTCTGGGTACAGTCGGATGGTCCTGCCTTGCCTATCTCGTACAGTCCCATCACTGGAGAAGGCGAGAATGCACTCAGCTCCGGCGCAACCCTCTGGCCCGTCCTCCCCAGCCCGCCCTCACCTGCTCTTGTGGAATGGGGGGTCTACGTGCGTGTCCACCCAGAATGGCCAGAGCGTGTAATCTGCGCGGGGAAGAAAGGGAAGGTTCAGCCTGGAGGGGGCAGGGACTCGAGAACTGGAACTGGGGTTTGGAAAAGGAGCGCGCCCTACGAAACTCTCCGCAGTAGGGCCCCTCACCCAGATCGAAGACAGCGAGCTTAGGGAGCGGCGCCATCCCCGGCGCCCACGGGCTGCGCGCAGGGAGGCGGGGCCTTCTCTGGGGCCACGGAGCAACCCTCCGGCAGCGGTCGCCTGAAGGCCGTGCAAGGGTGCCCTCTGATGGTGGAGGGCGGGAAGGACGGCAGCCAGCGCCAACCGACCGCGCGCGGGACCACAGCGGTGTTTCTCCTTCCCTTACTTCTCTGCTTCACGGTCTCCCGAGGTTCTACTAGAGGCAGACCTTTCTCTGGCACCGGTCCCTCACCTCACCTCACCAACTAAGACAAGTGGTCCATCATGGCTGTGCCACTCCTCACCCAGCCTCTGTTCTTATCAGCGTCTCTCCACAGGATTGGGCCCAGAGCCCTCAGCAATACTCCAGCCATAAAGAATGTATCTGTAACACCCTTCAGGCCTTTCTCAGGTCAGGCCCAAATGTCCAGGAGGTCCACAACAGGAGATAATTCACTCTCCTGGTTCCGACCATGTCAGCAGGATGATAGATGTACAACCAGTTTGGGGGGAGAAACTGATTTTCATTGTTTGCCAATTACTATAAATATTCTACCATGGCCAGTTTCAAGCTACCAACATGAAGTTACTTAATTTGGGGTTGTAAAGCGATGCCAATAGTTAGCTCTCATGAACTGGTGAGACCTGGCACCACTGACAGTCTGGTAATCATTCTGAGGGCACATTCCCTTCCATTGTCCTACTCTCTCAGCCTGGTATAACTGGGTGTGCATTGAGTCCATTTTGACTTCAGTCATGTTTGTATAACAGAAGAAAGATTCCAGGAGGCCAGGAAATATTTTATTGGCAACCAGGGACATAGCCATAAGAGAGGGAAGTACACAGGACTGCAACTAAAACCCAACAGCCAGCAGGGGCCATTTGGGACAGGAACACTGCATCCTGGGGTCCTCACAGTCTCCTACCCGTAGACACACAAGACTGGGCATCCAGGAAAGGGGGCAGTGACTCTGGTGTCCCAGAGAGTGACAAGGATATATGATGCCTCATCACGAGAGACAAGGTAAGGAGGTAAAATGGAGAGAGGGTCCATCACTGCCTAAAGCCACCTCCTCCTCTTAGAGCCAACACCAGGTGGAGGACTGAACCACCTAGGATTTTATAATCAGCTGCTGTCTTCTCATCATTCCTGCAGGAAAAGAAGGCATAAAAAGGATTAGAAAAATCATCTAGAACAGGGCTTAACCTGGGTTTCATGGATCTCTCGGGGGGGGGGGGGGGGGGGGCTGGGGCTGTCTATAAACTCAGATGAGAAAAAAAAGTTACATCTTTATTTTTACTAACTCCTACCTGAAATCTAATATTTCTTTAAATTGTGAACATAGGCAAAATCCATAGTGGTATTAGCAATATGGGTAACCTATTAACAATAGAAATTAGATATTTTCACACATTACAATTATTTGCAGATATCTTGAAAATATTTTCAATATAATTTGCTTCTGTAATTCTATGTATTTTATTTTATGTCTGCAGAAATCTGATTCGGAGAAGGGGTGCATAGGCTTCCCTAAATTGTCAAAGGGTCTAGGCCCCAATAAAGAGAAGCAGGCCGTCTCCATATTGGCTCCCTCACCTTCATTAAGATTGCCACACCCTCATTTCCATTCCAAACTCACATCTGTTTACCACTGTAGATAAGCCGCTGCTGCTGTGGAGGGATTCCCTCTTTCTCTTCCACACGTTCCTTGATTCGTTCCACCTTAAGGAGTACAAGTAGTCAGGGGCTACCCGTGGTAGATACGGGTAGGGCCATGGAAGTGGAAAGAACAGAGCTATGCAGACAGCATGAAAGCAAAGGACTAAGTTCATCAGCATACCCAAACAAATGTAGAGAGATAGGCATGAAGATGTGTTGGGGTATTACCTTATCTGTGGGTTCAATGTCAATCTCAATCTCCTTTCCGGTCAGCGTCTGAAACAGGCAAGGGTTTCATGAGTCCTACAGGCCACTGTATAATATTTTTCTTAGGTAAAAATGTCCTATCCTGGTCTCTGGGGATCTACTACCTTCTAAGAGATGTACATTCTTGGCAAAGCTGCTCTGAAGAATTGGAAGGCGTTGACCACATCTAAATTCATCAAACATTTTTAGGCTGTGGAAATGTTTGAGAGGGCAAGATTCTGTGAATCATTTGACCTTAGTCCCACAGGTCATTTCACATCCCCCACCCCACCCCACTAGAATCCATGGTATTTTTGCTTGACATAGCAATGAGAGGTATCCTAAAGATAGCATTCCTTTGAGTCAGAAGGATGTTGTTGTATATCAGGGTAGAAATTAACATTTAGAGAATTCAAAGAATTCTCAAGGATATCAGAGATCACCTCTGATTAACTTAATACTAGAATTCAACATTCTATTCTCCCATATCTTCTCCAGACTTCTGTGTAAATCCTAAATTGCAGCTCTGGTCTTCTTGACTTCTTCCATAGGCTAAGGGCTGCTGACATCCAAATACAATATACTAACTGTACACTTAAAAATGATGCCCTAGCCCTAGCAGGTTAGGCTCAGTGGATACAGCGTCGGCCTGCGGACTAAAGGATCCCAGGTTTGAATCCGGTCAAGGGCACATGCCAAGGTTGTGGGCTCGATCCCCAGTAAGGATCGTGCAGGAGGCGGCCAATCAATGATTTTTTTCTCATCGTTGATGTTTCTTCTCTCTCTCCCTCTCCCTTCCTCTCTGAAATCAATAAAAATTTATTTTTAAAAAATCTAAAAAAAAGAAAAAATGTTGCCCTAGGCTTAGTGGATAGAGCACCAGCCTTTGGACTGAAGGGTTGTGGGTTTGATTCTGGTCAAGGGCATGTACCTTGGTTGCAGGCTCGATTCCCTCCCTTCCACTCTCTCTAAAAAATAAAAAATAAAAAAATCAATGGGAAAAATATCCTCGGGTGAGGACTAACAAAACAACAAAAAAGTACTTACCGTACCAGTACCTATGAATTATTTTCATAGATGAACACACAGAAAAGACTAATCAAGGGTCTAGATCTTATTACCAATTGACAAGAAAAACAGGTAGAAGAGGAATGTATTAAAAGACAACATGGAGATGTAATCAGCAAAATCCAAACAGAAGGAAACTCTATGGGACAAACAATATAGTTTATTCAACAAGAAAAAAGAGAGAAAAGGGTGCTTTACAGGTTTGAAGAGTTTAAAATACATATCAACCAACTGTAATGTATGACTTTAGTTTAGATTCAAACTAACTATAAAAATAAATGAGACAAAAAGAGTATATTTGTTGATAGTAAAAAAATCACTGTTAATCTTTTAGGTGTGATCATTATGGTTATATTAGGAAAAAAGTTATTTTTTACAGCTAAATACTGAAATGTATGAGTAACATGCTGGGATTTGTTTCATAAAACATCAGCTAAGGAGGATTGGTGAGTGTAAATAAGATGGACCATGAAATTATAGTTTTTGAAGCTGGGTAAAGGGTGCAGTATGTCTTTCTCTATGCTGTGATATATGTTTGAAGTTGTCCATAATTAAAAAGTAACTGAACAATTTTAAAAGATATTCTTTATATATCATGCGATACTAGCTTCTTCCCTCAGATCTGCTCACTGTGACCCAGGAATGCATTCAATGCTATTTAACAAGTCTATGATGAACTTAAGCCCAACACACTGCTTTAGGTGCTGGAGGGGATATAAAAGAAATTAAGTGATCCAGCCTTTGCCAACAATATTTTCAAGTGAAGATTTACAATCAAGAAACACTGAGCCATATAATTAATAGAACCAGCCTATATATACAAGGAAATGCCATATTGAATACTACAGTCCAAATACAAGGTGCAATGTCAAAATGCTATGGTGAGTGAAAATCAGCACTGATTAATTTAAACCTAAATACAATAACATTTCACACTCACTATTATAACTAAAATAAAAATGGCTGATATGACTAGCAAGGGTGCAAAGCAGCTGAAAAGTTCATTCATTGCAGGTGGGAACGTAAAATGGTGCACCTGAAGAACTGTTTAGCAGTTTCTTTTAAAGTTACATTATCAAGCCCTGGCTGGATAGCTCAGTTGGTTAGAGCATTCTTCCGATCAAGGTTGCAGATTCGGTCCCCAGTCAGGTCGCTAGAGGAAGCAACCAATGAATGCATAAGTAAGTGGAACAACAAATCAATGTTTCTCTCTCTCCCTAAAATAAAAAAAAGAATACATTTTATATATATATATATATATATATATATATATATATATATATATATATATATATCTCACATGACCTACTAATTCCATTCCTAGGTATTTATCCGAAGGGAAAACATATGTCCACAAAAAGACTTGTATAACAATGTTCATAGGACTCTTATTCATAATGGCCAGAAATAGAAACAACCAAAATGTTCATCAACAGTAGAATGGATAAACAAACTGTGACACTGCCATCCAAAGGAGTACTACTCAATTATAAGAAGGAAGTAGAGACATACTCAACAACAGACATAATGCTGAGTGAAAGAAACCAGACACAAAAATTATGCATTGTAATTCATATGAAGTTCTAAGACAAGCAAAACTAACCTATGGAAACTTTTAGAGAGTAGGAGTGGAAATGTTCTAGATCTTATGGTTACATGAGTAGAAACCGTGGTTAAAAACTCACTGAACTGAACCCTTGAGAATTTTGTGTTTTATTCTATGTTAAAAAAAAAGATTTGAGCCAGCCAGCTGTCAACCTATGAACCAGGAGGTCATGATTAGATTCCCAGTCAGGGCACATGCCCAGGTTGTGAGCTCGATCCCCAACGTGGGGTTTGCAGGAGGCAGCCAATCAATTATTCTCTCATTAATGATGTTTCTCTCTCTCTCTCTCTCTCTCTCTTTCTCTCTCTCTCTCTCTCATTCTTCCTTTCTCTCTCTGAAATCAATTACAAAAACATATTTAAAAAAATATTTGAATGAGAAAAATAGGGCTTAGATAGTAAAGATGATTGCCCAAAGTTATCTGCTAAGAGGGTACTAATGCAGGATCTGGGGTTAGGGAGCAATATGATGAAGAAGTTTAAAGATCTGTACACTATGATTTTGTATATTATGTCTCAATTTAGACTCTAGACTTTAGAGAGGGCATGGCCATATGAAAACCTGGTTGGAGGCATCACACATGAATAAAGACATAAGTTAATGAGACCCCAGACCAGAATAAGTGTAATGGGAATGAAAAGAAAACCAAGCAAAAAGAAATATCAAAGGAAAAATTAGGTTCTAAAAGAGAAATTACTCTAAAGAACTGAGTTCCAGATACCTGGTAGATTTGCAGGATCAATATATGAGTATTGGGGAGCCAGCTTAAGAGAGATGATGTATTTAATTTTAGAAAGATGACGTATCAAGAGAAGATTTAAATCAGAAGGACCTGTAAAGGGCTGCAGAAAAAGATATGGAAGAAGTCAGCTAAGGGAAGAGAAAAGTTGAAAAATTAGTAATTTATAAAGGAGTCCTGCCAATAAAACCTATCATTTATATAACTCACAGCTAACTAACCACTTTTATATGTATTTAATGTATACAGAAATGTAGCAAACAACCACCAAAAAAGAGAGATGAAGGACAGAGAAACCCACTTAAAGGTAAAA